TCCAGTCTGGGCGACAGAGTGAGACTCCAACTCAAAAAATAAAAATATAAATAAATAAATCATTGGCTGGGCTCAGTAGCTCACATCTGTAATCCTAGCATTTTGGGAGGCTGAGGCGGAAGGATTGCTTGAGGCCAGGAGTTCAACACCAGCCTGGGCAACCACTTTTTAAATTTCACTGGAATTTACTGAGATTTGCGGGGAGCCCAAGGGACTCCCTCCTCCCTCTCCAATACCCCATCTCTATAAAAAATAAAATAAAATTTAAAAATATAATAAAGCAGCCGGATGCAGTGGCTCATGCCTATAATCTCAGCATTTTGGGAGGCTGAGGTGAGAGGATCGCCGGAGCCCACGGGTTTGAGACCAGCCTGGGCAACTTGGCAAGACCTCATCTCTACAATAACTTTTAAAAGATTAGCTGGGCATGGTGGTGTGTGCCTATAGTTTCAGCTGCTTGGAAGCTGAAGGATCGCCCAGTGGGTTGAGGCTGCGGTGACCAGGAGCATGCCACTGCCCTCCAGCCTGGGTGACAAAGTGAAACTCCAACTTAAAAAAATAAAAAAAATAAAAAAAATAAAAATATATATATATATATATATATATACATATATATATATGGCATTGTACTAATAGCTCATGTAACTTAATGACTAAGTACTGAAAGTGAAAAACAGAATGACTATGTGGGTACTCGAAGGCTGGTCTCTACAGAATGCATATTGGTTTTCGCCATAGTAAGGTCGAAAACTTTTGTGAGTGGAACCTCTGTTAAGTCAGGAATCTTCTGTGAGGTATATGTGTGTGGAGGGAGGGTCAGCAAGCGAGCATATCTTCCCCCTTACCTCAGTTTCCCCACCTGAGTCATGGCATGAAGTACTCCCATCCCAAGGGCTGTTTGGAGGAGCAGAAAAGATGCTATCCAGGCACCCCGGCACCAGCTGGGACCCAGGCAGGTGGTGATTACCAGCTGATGCGTCCACAGGTCAGGCCTGGTGTTTGGGCTGGGGCTGGTGCCATGGGTGTCCCCAGCCCCCAGGTACTCCCAGCTAATCCCCAAGTCATCTCAGAACTTGAACTTGAAGGGAGTTATGCCAGCCTAGCTTAGCATGAACCCAGAACTGGGGCCCAACCCAGACTCTCTGGGCCTCAGTTTCCCCATCCATGAAACTAGGGCCCTCTGCCAGGCCTATCCTCGGAGAGAAGGCCTGGAGAAAGGCCCCAAAGTAGGGAAACTGTTGAGGGACTGGGCCCTGCCAGGACCTCCCCAGTAGGGCTGAGCTCCTGGCCCCAGTGTCAACTAGACACGGCCTTCTGAGTGGGGAACGGGCCACTCTCTGTTCTCCTAGAGACAAGGTACCAGGGTGAGAATTGAAGAACCACTTTTCAAATTTAAGAGGGGAATTTATTCCATTGGGATTTATGGGGAGCCCAAGGGACTCCCTCCTCCCTCTCTGACCATCATTCAGGATTCAGGAAGTTGTTGGTCTAAGTACCCTAGGAACTCTGTCCTCAGCCCCCTAACAGCATCAGGCCTGAGAGGGTCTCTGCCTGCTGGCTTCCTTCCCTCCCTTTCTCCCTCCCTCCCTTCCTTCCTTCCCCTCTCCCACTCTCCTCCAAACCTCTGGCCTCCCTCAGAGAGCTGTAAACTGTGGCATTGCATTGTAGGGGTGATGTTCCCACACCCCCAGCCCTCACCTGGCTCTCCCTGGCTCCAGATGGCACCCTAAAGGAATTAGGCCACACCCAAGACCAGGCTGTTCTCTCCCCTCTCTTCTCTGAGCAGCACAGATTTAGAAAGGAAAGGTCCAAACCCACCTCAAGGAACTGTGGACAAGCTACTTCTCGTTCCTGGGTCTCCCCCGGAGCAGGGGGAATAGGACCCAAGTCACAGGACTGTTTGAGGGGTTATCTGATTTGTCAAGCGCCTGGCACATGGTAGCTCCGACTTCCCAGGCGGGGCCTTCCTGTGGCATCTCTGCGCCTGGCCCTGCTGTGAGGTTGGCCTCTCCAGCACCTGCTCACTTCAGCCTCCTACCTGCTGTGCTGGGATCTTAGAACCGGTGAGGAGCTGGGTGGGCCTGGGGGCGGGGAGAGGGCGGCACAGAGCTGTGGAGGAGGTGAAGGCGTCTGGACTGGGTGGGGCGAGGAGAATGGGCTGGAGGGCCCCAGATGCCCCAGGCTGGGACTAGCTGAGACTAGGTGGCACCAGTTTGGGGAGCTCTGGCTGGGTGATGGGAAGAAGCTGGCGTCAGGGAGAGGAGGGAGGGGCTGGCGGCTCCCTGGGAAGCAGGAGCTGAGTAATGCACTGGCCAGGTGGAAGGCCTGAGGGGAGGTACCTGGAGAGGGACTGGCCCTCTGCTTGAGGTGGGGGACCCTCATACACACGGACTGTTTCTTCACATATCTAGCATACCGATTTAATCGCTACATGGTGACATTTACTGTTCACTGCCCTGCTCCCTGCTGGAATGAAAGCCCATGAGGGCAGGGCATTTGGCCTGCTCTGTAGGGCAGGCTACTTTATGCCCAGGGCCTCAGCATGCCTGGCACACAGTAGATGCTCAATAAATGTGTTCAATGAGTGACTGAATCCCTGTAAAGACACATCCATGTGTGCACACGTATGCACACACACACGCAGTCCCATGTGCAGTCACTCATGAGGCCGCTCCAGACATTCTCAGGCCTGTGCCCAAAGGCACAGGCCCAGCTGGGGCACAGTGGCTCATGCCTATAATCTCAGCACTTTGGGAGGCCAAGGCAAGAGGATTGTCTGAGCCCAGGTGTTCGAGACCAGTAACTTGCAACTTGGAGAGACCTCGTCTCTATTTGAAAAAAAAAAGGTAACCCCCTTCAGGTCTCCTCTCACTGTGGGAACTTTTCTGTCCTCTCAATAAATCCTGCTTTGAAGAAAAAAAAAAAAAAAAAGACGCGTGCACACCCAGACCGGAACATCCATGCAACATACAAGCAGGATTCCAGATCCACGCCTGGCCATCCAGATTCCAAAGTTTGTGCTCACAGCAGGCTTGGGGCTGTGCAGACACGCTCAGGCACAGCCCACGGGCCCCCACCCTCTAGTGCCAGCCCTGGAGAGCAGCCCCTCCCAGAAACAGAGGCCAGGCCTCAGTGGACCTGACAACACAGCAGCTTGAAAGGGTGGGGTGAGGCAGGGCCACCTGGCACCTGGAGCTGTCAGGAAACGCTACCACTGCAGTGTTCCCCTGGCAAGCCTGCCTGGGGGTGGGGGGGGGAAGGAGGGAGGTCACTGAACCTCCAGCCCCTGCTCCTGACTCAGACTTTGCCCTTCCAGCCCTCATTCCAGCCAAAGGACCAGGAGAGGGGCTTGGGTGTGACAGGGAGTCCTCCAGGACACAGAGGTAGGTGGGGCCCAGGCCAGGTCACCTGGCACATCTGGGGAGACTCCAGGGGTGTAGCAGTGAGAACTCAGCTTCCCAGCCTTGACTCCACCCTCCGGCAGGAAGACGTCTCTGCCACCTTGTCCATCTCTGCCACCCTGTCCTCGGGAGGATAGAAATGTGGGACAAAATTGTCACCTGGCTGGCTTTGGTCTTGGGTGCTTCCCAGAGGGACCCCTTTGCCCTCTCCCTGCTGTGGGACGGGGTGGCAGTTGAGTCACAGCTTGGGGTCCTAGCTACTAGACACTGTCCCTGCCTCTACACCTCTGCACCCCGGATCCGCTGGGATGAGAGGTTTGGCTGCCCCACCGTACCCCCAAAAAGTCCCAAGTATTCAAATCGCCCACCTAGGCTCCTCTGGCTGCTGAGCTGGGGACCGCCCCCTCTGGGACCCGGAATGGCCAAGGGGGAGGGGCGGAGCGCGCCAGCTCTGACTCTCAGGGACCCGGGACAGCAAATGCCGGGAAAGCGCACGCACCAGTATAAACGTCCTGGCCCCCTCCGCACGCAGGCTCGCCACATTCCCCAAGGGAAGCGATGCTCAACTAGGAAAAGCGGGACATCCGGTCCTGGAAACCCGAAACCGCCGTCTTTCCGAGGCTGAGGCCGCTGTGTCCTCACGCCCCCTGGCGGCGGCTCTGCTATCGCCCCCTGCTCCCCACTTCCTGCCAGGTGCAGGGACCCAGCCAGGGCACCCTGCGCCGCACCCCACATTTTACAGATGAGGGTAGATGGGCGCAGAGAGAGAAACGAAAGTCCCTGCGCCCTCACAGCTGAGCCCCGGGGAAACGGGGCCCCAGGTGCTGCGAGTCATTCAACAACAAACTCTAGATGGAGCTCAAAAGTTTATTGAGCACCCACCGTCCGGGTGCTGGAACTGCTAGGCTCTTGGTCCAGTGCTCGTCACGACCCTGACTGACACTCTGCAATTTGATCTGAGACTCCAGCTGCCAGCTGGAGCCTTCTCCTCCAGGAGACAGTCCAGGTGGGGGTGCAGCGGGTGACGGGGGCGGAGGGGAGGTGGACCCCATGAGCCCACTGGCCGACCTGCAGTGCCACTATGTTCCGGAGGTACTGGAGTGGCAGGCAGAGGTCTAGGGAGCAGCTCGAGGTGGGGCAGTACGGCACCCATCAGCTGTGCCCATCTAAGTTTTTTTTTTTTGAGTTGGAGTCTCACTCCATCGCCCAGACTGGAGTGCAGTGGCCGCTCTGGCCACCGCAGCCTCGACCTGCTGGG